ATCTCTACGGTGACCTCAACCTCGATCGAAAGTCATGCCAAATGGATTTATCTACCACGCGTGCGCGTGCGCGTATACAAAACGGAGGAGGGATTACTTACTCTCCCTGTATGATGTATCTGTTGTATTCGTGAACAATGTCATTGATGTTTCCCTTGCATGTTTTTGAATATGCGAGCATAACTTCCAACATCAAGAATATTTACTATTTTTTATTATATCAGAAACCAGGGGGATGCGGGGAACAGGAACAGGTACTGCTCAAAAGAAGACTGGATGCATTGTTTCGGAAAGAATTTCTACGAGGTTAGGTTGTGATGTCGATAGGGAGTGAGTTGTAGATGGTAAGGGCACTGTTTGTATTGCTTTGTATTGCTTTTATTTTACATCGCAAGTCAAACTGGCAATCATGCCCACTGTTATGATGACGATGGAAAGGGAGAAAAGATTAAGAACAAGGTTAGTTATTTTGGTTTTTAGGGAGTGAAGAAAACGGTGCGTCTAGGTATCTCTCCTTAGATCATCAACATTGGTCATGAAAGTAGACTTTCAATGGACGTGAGAGTTGAGATGTGCTAGGTCAGGCCAACTAGAGGGAAATGCTAGGCTGTGAGATTCCGAAGTACATCCATTCTAATCATATCAAATTTTTCACCCCAGTGTCCACTTCAATCCATGCTCCCCTCGGGCGTCCGATCATGCTGTAGTTGTCTCTAACTTCCAAGCTGTAGACCCGAGGCGGGAACCTACCACCTCCCGCAAGGTTTGGCGCTATGCCTATGCCGACTGGAGCCGGCTGAGGGCACACTTCCGTAGGCTAGACTGGCATTCACTGCTATCCGATGACCCCAATCAATCGTGCGAGAGAGTGACTGCTGGCATTCTTTGCGGAATGGAGCAGGTTATTCCCTCCAAGGTACTCGTTACCCGGCCATCCGACCCGTCTTGGTGGACACCAGAATGCAGCTCCGCTGTCGAGGCCAAGGAGAGATGTTGGAAAGCATGGAGGAGGAACCTTGCCAATAACGTCCTGAAGGCCTCCTTTATTGCCTCTGTCGGCAATGCTGTTCACACCTTGCAGTCAGACCGCACTGCCAGTGACGACCGTGTTCGGCGGCAACTAAGCTCCCGGTCCCTCAGTGACAAGCAATGGTGGTCCAATGCTAAGAAAGCAGCATGAATCTCCCGATCTTCAAACATACCCCTGCTGATCGATAGCGACGGAACATAGTATCACTCAAGCAAGGACAAAGCTAACGGCTTTGCACGATATTTTGCCGACAAATGCAGCCTCGGTCTAACCGATCTACGTCCCGAAGATCTACCTGACATGCAACACCCTGCGTACGAGGCTCTATCCAACATTTGCTCCCGTGTTCCAGAGGTTCGCCGCCGCCACGCCAAGTTGGATACCTCCAAAGCAACGGGCCCAGACGGGATACCAGCTCAAGTCTTGAAGCATTGTTCCATCGAACTGTCATCCATTGTCGCGCAATTGTTCTCACTTTGTTATCGCCATGGTGTCCAACCAACAATCTGGAAGCTACCACACGTTTTCCCTGTTTACAAGAAGGCCGCGCGGTCAGCACCAGCCAACTATCGCCCAGTCTCTCTCTTATCCGTACTATCCAAGGTAATGGAGGCTATTATCAACAGTCAAATCACCAACTACTTGGAGAGACACTCCGTACTTGCTGACACCCAGTATGGTTTCCGTCCGAACGGGGGCGCTGCTGATGTCCTCACGGCGCTGCACAATTAATGGGTCCGCACAGTTGCTGCTGAGGGCCATGCCCAGGTGATATTGTTTATTTTATTTTATTCGTGTTCGATATTGAATTTTAATTTTAATTTTTTTTTTACAAATATTGTTTTTATTCCATTTCACATTTTTCGGTCGGTTATTAATCCCTGCCTATTGAGGAAGCTGGTGAGGTGCTCGGCGATGATGGCGTCCAGAATCTTGGCTACGGCCGGCAGCAGGGAGATTGTATTGTATGTTTTTTATTTGAATTCGCAAGTACACATGGGCTACAAGCTCAATTACATGGAAGCGAATGTGATATTTAATGGGGTGTAGGAAGGAGGAGGAATGTTGCAAAGTAACAAGGAGGACACTTCAGGAGCAAAATTAACAAATGCGCATACAAACATACAAAACCATAAAAATTCAACTGGATGAAGAATGTGAAGAAGAGGTTGGTGCTACCTCGGCGACAATTGGGGAATTGTGTGTTGCTCCATACGTGGGAGCTTGCGCTATTCCTGCCGACTTGAATTCTCACTTGACTAACTCACGACTACCATGCAGAGCGCACGAGAAGTCCATCGAACCGCCCACTTGGCAAACCTGCAAGAAAGCACCACTCCCTGCTCAAAAAACAGTGTTTTGGGGAATTCATCCCTCATCATTTGCCTAGTGGACGGTTCGATGGATTTCTCGTGTGCTCTGGACTGGATGGCAGTCGTGAGGATGCCGAAGTCGCACCAACCTCTTCTTCACAGAGTTGTCCCCGGCGCGGGCATGCGAATTAGATGGTTTGGAGGCAACAACGTTGTGAATGGCAAACGGTCCTCAGCGTCTGTTCAGCACCTCCAAGAGCGACACTGACTCACGCTGCTATCTGGTGTTCACGAGATGTTTTTCGCGCTGGAAACGGAGCGTCTCTGTAAGTTTGTATCCCTGGTGATGTCGTTGCCTAGAGAGCACTATATAAGTCGTGCTCTTCAGGCACAATCTTCCTCAGCCTACTCAAGCTCAACTGATGAGGGGTGAATTCCCCGAAACACTGTGTATTGAGTAGGAAGTGGTGCTTTCTTGCAGGTTTGCCGAGTGGACGGTTCGATGGACTTCTCGTGTGCTCTGGATGGCAGCCGTGAGTCAGTCATGTGACAATTGAAGTCGGTTGGTTGAAGAATGGCACAAGCAAACATTTCCTGACAACGAGAGGGACTGTAACGACAGCCACGGCAGTAGCACCAGCAGCAGCAGCAGCAACAACAACAACAACATCATCATAAAGAGATAGGCCTGCAGGCTGTAGTTAGCTGGCCACGCATGTTTGCCGTTCTCTTTGTAGATAGGTAAGACTGTAGCCAACTTCCAGTCACTAGGTAGCTTCCCGAGCCGGAAACTAGTGTTGGCACAGGGACTGCATGATCATGGGTGCCACTTCTCTCAATGTGCCGTTCGTGATATGCATACCCCCGCCCACAGAATTGTGCTTGAGCAGAGCGCGCAGCTTGCAGAAGACTCCCGTGCTGGGTTGTTTGGAAATTGAAACTGGAGACCTGGGGTAAATTTTGCTGGCTTATAACAATAAAATGTTCTCATACTTTCTGCCTTTCTTGTCATTCTTGCTTCTTGAATTTGTTTGTTTTCCTCTAGTTTTCTTGTGTTCGCGGAGAAGGCGGAGAGCCGGAGCGCAGAACCATTTTGTTTAAAATGATTTAACGGAGAAGGCGGAGATACCGAACGTGCCGTAATGCGGTCAAGCACAATATGTGTTTGGGTAGCTCAGGGGGAACGCCAAATATATGGGTACATGTGACTGTTTTTTTCTCTCTTTTGTTCTTTTTTTGGTGTTTATTGGAATTCGGATACATGTAGCTCAACATGAAACAGTACAGAAGTACAACTACAAAGAGCACCGAATAGAAGGCCCCGGGAACGGGAAACCAAAAAGAAAAAAGAAAAAAAGAAAAAAGAAAAACAGCAACATCAATTTACTGATTATGATTCTCCATGGCAGCATGAATCCCAGCACCATTGCTGGTTTGTGGCACGGGTGGTCGAGGCAAGGCTTCGGCTTTTCTCAAGCGCATTGCATCTTTGCTTCCCAAAACCGTTCTCCGTGGCGAGGGCTCATCTCCTGTTACATGGTATTCTTGTCGCAGTATTAGTTAGTTAGTTTTTTGGTTTGTTTGTTATATTATGATAACTGTCCACCAACGTAACCAGATCTTTATACAGTCAGCGTGTGCGACAAAATGGCACAAAACTGACAAGGCCGGGAGTACTGAGACATTCAGCGACCTGACACCTAGGTCCAACACTTCTCCAAGGCGCAAACCAACAACCTTCCAACTTGGAAAACTCGGGTTCCGAAAGGTCCCCTGTGTAGGCTTTCCCCAAACCGGCCCGTTTTTTCCGCTTGTTCGGCTTTTCGCTCGGGTCAAAAATACATCAGATTCGACTGCAAAATCAGTTGATTGTTTGACAATTGGCTGCAAAACTGGAATATATTGGAAAATCGGCTAAAAGAACTGTTGGCATGTTGGCCTCAAAATTTGTGAAATAATTTATTATTAGAAGATTTGGTCGATTTTCGACGATTGTCAAAGGAACCCTCCAAAATCGGCGAAAAGCGTAGCGATTTTCGATCAGCCTCATTTTCGGCGAATTTTTCGCAGCCTGATTAAAAGGGATTTTACTACAGTCCATTCATCGGAAACAGTCCCGCTGGCTTTTGCAAGTCCAATTTGGGCCGAATTGAGGATCAAAAACCCACTTTAAATCTCCAAAACCTGGGTTTGGGATCTGCTTCTCCACACATTTTGACATGGTATACCTGTCCTAATTTTGTAAAACCTGGCTCAACCAAGACCCTATCAGTATCAGCAAGAGTCCATAACCCCCAGGGGGTTATGGACTCTTGGTATCAGGGACTATGCAGGGCTGGAACAGGCGTTGCACACTCTGGGGGGCTATGTACTTTTGCTAAGCTTTGTTACAAACAGCAATCTGTGTCAAATTTAGCGCGTGCGACACCTTCGAGTACTTATTTGTTGACCCCGCCAATCAAAGTGAATGGCATGTAGGCTGGTACGCGCCTGATACGCGCTGCAAATTCCAACATGCTGGAATTTCCATTTGGGCGCGTTTCCGTATGCATGGCGCACCAAAAGCCAGCAAAATACGCACAAACGCGTGGTTTCACGCGGACACGCACCAGTTGTGACCAGAGCTTAAGTCCGAAGATTGAGAACTTTTCCTCAACTTAGAAACAAGAGTTAGAAATGAAAAAAGAAAAAAAACTGGAGCCAAATGACTTGAGCCCAAACTGCCAGATTCTCAGTCAAAGAACTTGGGGAACACATTAAAAGACTAAGTAACAACTGAGAACATCTGTTTATAAATAAGTAATGTAGACGACTTATGTATATACTATGTGCTAGTACAATACACAACAACAAAGCTAAACCAGTTAAGGTATGCTATGTCGGGATCAATCTATTATTGCCCTCATCATCTTGCAAATAATAGATGCATAATTACTAATTAAAATACGACATAATTACTCAGCCGTTGTGGGTTATGGGATATCAGTCTGCCTCAGATTTTCACTGATCTGAAATTGCAGATTTGAAATTTACAATGGGAGGAAATTATCAGGACTGGAAACACACTTGGTTAGCCAGGCTCTTCACGTCCTGGAAACGTTCCGTTGGAGTAACACCGATTGCATGTGCCTGTCGAGTTTCCTGGACCGAATTGTGGATGCTATGGAAGATGGGTGGGTAAGTGGAAGGGCACCAGGTTAGTCCTGTCGGTAGTATTCCCCCGGTTTATGCGTGACTAGTTACAATTACTGACACTTCATGCACTGCACTGTTCATCACCATCACTCTATTAGACGACTTCGGTTGGAGTAGTTGTGGCTGGGTCGCTCGTTGGTTTGGTTATTGAGTAACTGGTCGTGGGTGTAGCAGCCTGGGTAGTGTTAGCGGACTCGTTGCTCTCTGTAGCGGAGAAACAGAGATGACCCACACAAGCATCTCAGCAAAGCAGTCAACAGCATACCATCCCCTCTTCGCAAAATCTGATTTCAAAAATTACTATGGAAACCCACCAACATTTTGACTTTAGATCTTCACTTTTTTTGTTCCATATTGCTCTCCTGAACTCATAGTGCTCAGGGTGATATTTGAAAGGGGAACACTTAGGGCCCGGTCCCATGTGCACTGGGGTTCGCTTCAGCGTGGAGGTTCTGCAACAGCGAGCCTGGTGTCGCTCCAGCGAAACCACGTGTGTATGGTCACGCATACAAACAGGGCAAACTCCTACTTCGGCGGAAAATGAGAGTAAAGTGGGCTGTGGTGCATACGGTACGGACAATAGGCGAGGTCAATGACCATCTTGCACGCATTTTGTTGCATGGGCATCATACGCATACAAATTTCTTGTAGTAAGTCCTTATACAGCAGACCGTGGTGCTTTCCGCTGAAGCGAAACCGCAGAAGCGACAGTCTTGGTTCGAAAATTTTGGAGGAAGCGGATTGGAGTTTCCACCGAGGCGGAAGTTCTGCTTTTCGCCGTTGCCATGGTTTTGTTCGCTCCTGCGACGTCGCTTCAGCGGATCCACTACTTCCGAGTGCATGTGTGACCGGGCCCTAACAAATTACGATACAGATGGCACCGAAAATTAGGAATTTCCTCAACTCTGAGGTCACCGGTGCTCCTGCCTATGCAGTCAGCTCAAAACCCGGAAGGTTGTCCCGAGCTCGGTCCGCTTGCCATCAAGAGTAGATAAACAAGTGTGTGCAACTCGCGGATGGGTAGGCCCACGGCAGATTTTTTTGTTGACGTAATCTTGTCGACGACGCTCGCGCTGGGAGTCTTTCGGAAAGTTTTCCCTCGTGCTCTTGGCCGGACTTACACTACAAGCCCAGTGCCCAGCACGTGCCCCAGACTAGGCATAGCCCGATTTTGCTAGCAATTATGCTAGCAAAATATCGAAGAATTCTGAAAGGGAATTTGCTAGCAAAACGGAGCAAAATATCGGTGTGTTCGCTGGAAATTTGAAGATTTTACACTTACACGGTGCACGTGACTCAATTTCGCACAGTTTTAGCAAAACGTGACTCACTTTTTCTCATTTTTGCCAACACTTGACCCACTTTCGGTCACTTTTCCCACATGTGACACCATTTTTTTTTTTGGGGGCAAAAAGGGAGCAAAAATATCGAGTGGTCTGGCAAAATGAAAGCAAAATATTAACGATGAGAAAGCAAAATGTTGCGGCAAAATATCGAAGCTTCACTGGCAAAATCGGGCTTTGCCTACTCTACCCTGCTCTGCGGCAAAATGGTGACGCCCACAAAAATTCTGCAGTGGGCGGGGGTATTTGCAGATTGTGCAGGAGAGATCCGGAGTTGCGCACTCTTGTTTATCTACTCTTGCTAGTAACTAGCAGCTACCACCATTTCTCTGGTTATTAAAGGTATGTCTTCGCCACCGTATCATTATTACTCAAAAAACTCTTTTCAGGAGCTGTACTGAGGCTTTTAAAACTCTTGTGAAATTGCAAAATCTGGGTTTGCGTTAGGGCTGAAAACCCCTCAATATTCGAACCTCTGTTCTTCTGCCTTCCCAGCTCGAACATCCGCGATGTGAGGAAAATTCAAACTGGAAAACGTGATCCAATCCGCACACAACTTCCGGTCCTTCTGCGCTCGCACTGCACATGAACCATCCTGACAAACAGTCCTACAGCGCAGTACCACAGGACGTGCTACGAAGTTGTTTTGCGAATTCCGTGTATCCACACGTAACCATATCCAAAGCTCAGTGGTTAGTATACCTGGCAACCATACCGCTTTTGGCCGGGCCTGTTTCAATTGCGAGGACAGTAATAGCGCGAAAGAGCGAACCACAGATACGACCATTTTTTTTACAAATTGCGTGTGAGGCGAGCACGTCTGTGAACAGCATGCCCAAGAAAGGGGACGTTCCCTGTAGGTCATAGTTGCATGGCTCGTGCAAAGTAGAGGTCAGAATAGCTTGAGCCTCAGGAATCTGAGGACTTTGAATGACCATTCTACGTTGAGCACGTGAGCCGATGAAAATTTTGGTTGGAGGATACAGAGTTTTGCTCACACGCAGTAAGGCAGCTCTCAAAAAGGCGTGACGGCTATTTTGTTGCTTGTACATTGCATGTAGCAGCAATAGTTTGAGAGCCAAGATCTGTAGCACATCGCATCCATATGCCAACTGGGGGCGCATTTGGTTGGTACGAGCTAGAACAGGATTCACCAGAACAGCGCGTTTGGTTGGCACTGCACCTGTTCTGGGTCGGCCAGAACATGTTCTGCTTGCTAAGGCCTCAAGGCCAGAGCCAACCGAGCAGTTTCACTTTTTCACTGTGAAACCTGGCGGGAACATCGATTTTGGTCCCAAATGATCACGTGCACACACTTTGGGGTTGGACTCTTCGTACTGTACACAGTCACCATGGTGACACATACACATTTTGAAGTATGTACTAAGTTTGGCATATTTTTTCACAAAAATGAGCTCTGTTTCTGGAGCACCGTGTAGTTGGCATGGGGCTGCGCCATGTGCACCAGCTGTTCGATCCTGTTCTTGATCATACCAACCAAACGCACCGTGGACGTACAGAAACTATAAATGAATTGAAAACGCACACTATGAGGGTAACTTAGTAAAAATGATTCGGAGACCTTTGGTTGGAGGAGTTACTTTTGCCCCGCCCCCACTTCCATCCAATATGTCACCGCCCCCGCTGTGCAGCATCTGATGGTTCTGTGGTATTCAGTGAAAAAATAAAAAAACTTACCAGGTGTGGGTTGGTAAAGGCAGGTTGTTACATTTGTACAGACACCGACTCCACCACACTCTTTGCCGCTGTCAGCATCGACCGAACACTGACTGGTGACTCGAGACTGGTCCACGCAGCGTTGCTTGTGGCACACAAGGTCCTTGTTAGCGCCGCTGGCATCACAGCGTGTTCCGTCCTTCACGAGCGATGGGTCATCGTGGTTTCTTGGCGGGGACGCGTACAAACCATTGCACCTGAGTACACCGCCAACACCGCGTACGGGAATAGTTTGGGACAGAACGCCACTACTGGGTTGGTTCTTTCGAGCAACTGGAAGGCAGAACAAACTACCACATAGGGCATCTCCAGCCGCACAGGCTGCATAGGTTCCTGGGGTGGAATTGGACGATTTGAAACCACAGTTACCCGTACGTTCTCCAAAAACGTTCATGATCGCGAAGCAATCCTCAGGAGCTGACCCTTGATCCATATCGTTCCAGACACTCTGACACTGGCCAGTTCGTGATTGGCAAACTCCACTCCAGCAGGATGCTTGACTATTGGAGCAAGGCCAGCCGTTGCGTGCGGTCAGGTCCTGTGGACATGTGGCATTCTCGCCGTCGCAGTACTCCGCCACGTCACAGTCGCTGGTGGCGGCGCGGCAGACCTGATCCCGGCGTGTCACGATGCGCTTGTTCACGCAGCATGGGTCCGTGTCCGCACACCCTACATTAAACCAACACACAACAACAACATTGGTCAGTATGCCAGACATTGGCATAACAGTAAGAAATCAGTCTACGAACCTCCCAAAGAAAAACGTGTGCAGCATGCAAATTATGCCCGCAGCAGACATCGAGAAAAAAAAGATGTGAGGTACTATTTAGGGACTTTCACAGTCTTTGAGGGGCACGGCATGACAGATGGAGCAGACTTTTGGCTTGTAAATCCACGGCCAATACTGGTCTTTATGTCGAGATGCTGGACGGGCTTGAGTAGGAGCTGATTATTTCAATCCATTGGACCAGAACACATCCCATCCAACATCTACAACGGCCTGGCAACCCGTTCTATGGGGTCTGGTGATGGCGAAAACTCACATCAGGCGATGTAGTGTGCCTGTAGTTCCAACCTGTTCTAGTGACCACTGGGGAAAGCTTAATTTCTTCACTCCACTCGGCTTACATCATCGACAAACCATTCACGGCGGCTGCAAGGAAGGTCAAACCATTATATCAAGAATCCATAATCCTCCGGAGTGCGCAACTTCACTGATCAGATCTGGGACGAAATCCGTGTTGAACGTCATAGTGTGACATCATGAGTAGGGAAAGTGTGAACCGTGGTTGACCGCGTCGACGCAATGACGCAAGTCCGACCCAAACATGACGTAAATCACGGATTACGCCGTCCCACAACCCCATCCTAGTTGCGCACTCTGCGGGATTATGGACTCTTGATGATATTAATGAGGCAGGGACACTCCACTTCTCAAAATCCACTGTGATCAAGTCCCGCTTATGTTTCCCGGGTGACACAAAATGGGCATTTTGCAACAAGCCAGGAGACCAGAAGTTGCTGGGGCCGATGACCGGCATTCATGCATGCAAATTGGCTCAACTAGTCCAACCGACGACAGGCAAATCAACTACTACAATGTACCATACTTTCCAGAGTAATCGCCGTACCTGAGTATTATCCGTGCCCAGATTATACCCATCCACCCTTTACATCGCGGTGTATTTAACCACTGGAGTGTGAGCAGCACAGACCTTTTATTTTTTTAGGGGGGTGTAAATTAGGAGTGTGTGTAAAATGCGTACTGTAATCCGAACACATGGCATTACTTTCACTGGACATAGATTTACAAAGCGAAAGAAATGTAACTGCAACATGCAGTATGCACGCCGAAGGAATGCAGCGTATTCGCTTCATTAAGTAGACACTTACGAGTCTGGCACCGGTCACCAATCCATCCTTCAGCGCAGGTGCAGGTGCCGTCTTCATTACAGCGACCCTGGTTCAGACATGTTCTGCACTCTGCACCAGTTATTGTGTGCAGTGCATGACGCACATATTGTTTCAGTGCACAACAAAAATAGCAACAGAACAGCACAGCATGGTTAGTACATGATTCATGATCATCATCGGGTGCGACACGTCAAAGCAGTTTTTTTAAACATCCACATTACACAACACCCCAGGTGCACTGGGGGGAGATCCACCACATTCAAACGGAATGATTATAGTAGTAGTGGGTCTGGATCTGTATCAGGGTATGAAGAAACTATCACAACCTCAGCCTTATATGCAATGAGTGAAAATAACTGTTTGCATTGACAAAAATGAATATCTTGTTACCTACCGAGTTGGCAATGTTCTCCGTAGAATCTTGTCGGGCAGATGCATTTACCCTCGTTGTCACACTGACCCTGGTTCAAGCACTTGCAGTCGTCTGTAGAGATACGATATGTTCATGCATGCGCAACAAGAGCAGGGAATGGCAAGGAAAAGCATCACGGCATGCTATGCAATGAGAAGCATGACGGGAGCAATTGAACCACAAACAAGTTACCAGTGGTTGAGCCAGACTGTCCAAGCACCAGATTTCCCAGAGTATAAAAGACACACATCACTAGTTCAACCAAAAAAAATTAGGGGTGAGGCCTATTCTGCGTCAAATTAATTAACGGCGATAGATAGGGTAGTAAAAGTGGGGAGGCTTCCTGTATTTTCATAAACAGTTGAGAGTAGAGCCCACACGCTCTCTTCCATTAACACTGCAATAGTTCAACTCATTTCACAACAATTATTCCAACGTTTCGGCAAATTGCCTTCATCAGGTTCACAATGATGTGCAAGCTTCCAAACTATAGGGTAGGTAGCTGCAATTCGTGGCAAAAAATCTGGGTGTGGAAATACGGTCGTGATATCAGCACATGGTTATGTACAGTATTTTCCAGAGTAAAATCCACATTCGAGTATAAAGGCCGATTCACAATACAACTTCTAGCAACGCGACATGCGACTTGTGACACCTGCGACGAGCTGCGACAAGCCGTGACAGCGACACACAGTTCACAATCTTTTTTTCATGTATGCGAAATCCTTATGCACTAGTGTGCAGAGGCCACTCGTCAAGATGGCAGCAAATCCGAGAGTACAAAAATTTCGACTCTGGCTATGTGCGCGGCGGATGCGAATCTCGCACGTGCATGCAAAATCTAGCCTACTACAGGTAGAGCAAGTGTGTTGGAACGATGACCTTTTCCGAGAGAGAATGTGGCTCTTTTTATCCTAACATTTTACTGGCCACGCTCTCCCTCCCAGCTTATTGATACGAGTATCTGCTACCGAGTAGAAGTCTCCATCTTCACAGCAGGCCAGGCAAAAGCGAAACATTGAAGTACTTTGCTCACTTGGTTTTTTGGTTCTTTGAGGTGTTGATGTGGTTGTTGTGTACAACTCAAAGTGACAAACTTGAGACCCCCGCGCCACAAAGTTTCGTTTGGCTGTTCAATGAAAGGACATATGGAACCAGGGATAAAAACTATCGTGGCTGCCGGCCAAACTCCTAGTAATGTAATAAACGGGGGTGTGACATTGGTAATTCCAAGGAGAATGTACGCACGGCCATTCCACAACGAAGACGAAACTACGAGCTCAAAAACACTAAGATTTTCAAACAAAAGACGCAGGAAAGAAGACATGGCCGCAGCGTTCCCGTGTAGCCTTCAAAATGCCTAATTTTACTTCGATAGCGGCTGGTTCAGGGCAAATTCAGGCCCAATTCGACCGCGTTGTACCTCTCAGATTCGCCCAAAACACGAGGAAATGTACGGTAGATCCGAATGCGTACGCATTTTGCGTACGGGGACGACTGGCCAGAGTTCATGCACTGCAAACACCCGTGTAGTAGTACTATGCACGTGCACTGCATGAGCATCCAGGGTAGAAACTGTACTCCATTTGTGCATGTCGAACGTCACATGTCGCAAAAGTTGAACTTTCTTCAACTTCTGCGACAGGTGCCTTGCGACTGTACACGACAGCTCGGGACAGACAGTTTCTAGTCGCAACTGTCGCAAGTCGCGTCGCAGAAAGTGGTGTTGTGAATCGGCCTTAATTAAGCTGCACTTGAGTATAAGCCACACGCGGATTTTGTTGGTCCTTAAATATAGACATCAGTATACCCCGTTCACCAGCGGGTTATTTCCATTGTAGTACATGTATAATCCACACAGACTTAGACAGTTTTTAACCTGCAGTCTTACCCTTTTCACAGTATTCTCCATAGAAGACAGTGCGGTTGCACTTGCAACTCAGGTCCTGGGCCAGAACGCCATTAGCACAGTGCTCTGCGCAGAAAAGACAACACAAAAGGCTCCATTGCATCACTCGCTCACAGTTCGCTACACTTGAATGTTCGCAGCATCACAACACACTGAATTGAGTGGAAAGTCCGGTTAAAAAATTATATCAGGGCATGTCGGACTGTGGGTGTTGATTTGAATGGTCCATATCAGTGGAAGCTGCAGGTCCATCGCTAATCGGATATTCCTTATCCAACGTCAGCACCCAGTCAGCTCGGCAAGCATTCGGCAAGGACACTAAAATTAATATGTTGCCACTTCTTCCACCACCGAATGTAAAGCAGTTTGTACAGTGGTCCATGCTTCATGTGCGTGACGAGGTATCTTGTCATTGTCGATTTAAGCTCATTTGCTGCTAAGCCAGCGCTGTAGGTGATGCCAATGTATATGATACTCTCGGTAAGGCTCTCAGCCCCATACTATCACATAATTCTACGTCTGCAGGGTGAATAGCACAGAAATGTTTTCTCCCAGAAACAAAAACACAACCTAAATCTCCTTTCATGAAGTAGTGCCAAAGTTTGAATATATTGCTGGGACAGTCAGACCTCGCTTATCCGGTCCTCTTTTATCCGGATCCCTTGCCATCCGGAAGAAAATCGTTGGTTACCGATTTACAGCATATGCAGTGCATACATACAGTAGGTGTGTTCGATTATCCGGTTCCCTCGCCTTGTTTGCAACTATTCTACGCACATACGAAAGTCTACATGCCTCCGGACAAGCAAGACAAAACAGGCTTCGAGGATAACCAGTTTTGAAACTGTCTTAGGGCATGTTCGTTTGGTAGGATCGGGATCCCGATCCACCGGATCCACTGGACTCGCACCCTTTCGATTGGTCGAATCCGGATCCGGATCCTTTGGATTTGGATCCGGTCAACCCACCTCGGGGAGCAGGGTTGACCGGATCCAACGGATCCTTTTTCGCCAATAAACCTTTCTTGGCACGACAACTGCACATTTGGCAGGACCCAACCCGCGGGAATGCCTTTCCTCACGCCTTACACAGCATAAGTTTGGTTGTTTCATTCCTTTGTTATTTTTTGGTTTACCGTTTCAACCATTGAGTATCCTTTGCTGGCAAACAGCCCTGAGTGGCAGCGAAATTCAACATATGGAGATGCGGAACCCGTTGGATCCATGTAGCTCTTTTCCCTCGGGCCACCAACAGTCGACGGGGAAGTTTTCTTCCATTTGTGCCTCGTTCCAATTCAACTCACTCCAATTTTGGCTGTTATTGCGGCTTCTACCACTGCGGCTCATTATGCGGCAACTAGCCCACGTTTGAAGCGGAATTCAACACATATGGACATGGAGATACGGAACCCGTGGGATCGGGAGCCCTTTTCACTCGGGCCATCAACACGTGGAGGTTTCACATTATTCCGTTTATGCTTCGTTCCGATTCAACTCACTCCAATTTTGGCTGTTGCTGCTTCTACAACTGCGGCTCATTGGGCGAAAAATAGCTCACATGTACAACGAAATTCAACATATGGAGATACGGAGCCTGTGAGCGCCCTTTTCACTTGGGCCATCAACACGTGGAGCTTTCACTTTCTTCCATTTGTGCTTCCTTCCAATTCAACTCACTCCAATGTTTGCTGTTACTGCTTCTACAACTGCGGCTCATTGGGCGGCAAATTGCCCAGATTGGCACCGAAATTGCAAACATGGCCGGACCAGACCGGAGAGATGATCCTAGTATGGCGAGAATGACGTGAGGGACAACTTTTCCTCGCATATAAAAAGCATTCAGCAGGAGTAGTATTCACTATCTCCCTCATCTTTCTCGTTCCTGACAATGGCAGCTGAAAGTCTTGCGTCAAAGCCCCCTCAGCCCAGTGGCCAAGATCGTAGGCCTGGCTTCAAGTGGACAAGACGGCTGACGCTGGAACTAATTTCGGCACGGTCTGAAAACGACGGCTTGTTTCAAGACATCAACTGGAGGAAAAAGAGTGTGTGGAACCGGATTTCCCAGCAAATTGCAGTAACATTCCCGGACGAGGAACTACATCCGTCCGCAGAACAATGTGAAAACAGATGGAAAAACCTGATGAAAGCGTACAAAGCCTATGTGGATTCGCAGCAAAAAACTGGGGCTGACCGTAAACAGCCGCCTGCTTTCTATGATGAAATTAATGCTACGTTTGGTTGGAAGCCCAACATCCACCCAAAATGCTGGTTCCTGTCACCAGACCCCCAAAGCGTCCAGTTGAATTGTCGGATTCGGAGGACGATCAGGATGGTGAAGCAAGAGTATCATCCGCTCCGACCACACCGCAAGCTACTCCAGTCCGTCTCAATGCTACAGCAGGTGCATCAGCAGCCGTGGCAACCCCTGCCGCTAATGATGAGGAGAAGGGCGTTTTTGTGCACACGCACATGTTGTCCAGGCGTCAGGGGCCCAGCCTCCCTGCCCATCCGACCCGCCACACACAACAACGAAACTGAACTAAGAGTTCTGCATACTTTCTTGACAAGACGGAGACGGACAGACAAGAAGACCGGACACGACGAGGCAAACTGAAAACTGAAGAAAAAGACTAACATTTATGGCAGCATATGAGCATGCGTGCAACAAAACACAACGTATGACAATGACGTAACCGTTACTTGGATCATGTACAAACTATACATGCAACCAAAACCAGTCAAAGCAGAACGCAAAACAAACCAAAATAAACGAAAGGACCACAACAAAAAGAGCCACGAAAAGTCTTTCTACCGATACACAACAGGCGTAAAGAAGAGGAGAAAGCGGTCTGGAGGGCAGTCCAGTGACGCCCTGGAATGGCTCAAGCAGAAGAAATGTGAAGATCAAACCTGGCAAGAGCATAAGCACAACGACCAGATGGCAACACTTGGCGACCTTACTGCAGCTGTCAATAGGCTTGCAAAGCAGTAGAGGCATACTTCGAAGTACTATTTATTTATGTATCTATTGTGAGTTTGTGAAGAATACAGCATGTGTTTCTACATAACATCCAATGCTACATGCACAGACACACACACACACACACACACACCCACCCACCCCCCCCCCCCCCCACACACACACACACACACACACACACACACCAATGAATCGGTGATGATACTTTGCATCTACAATTATTATGTATCCCTCTCTCAATGATGTATCATTCAAGATACTCGAGTTTGTGCTTATTTTACAGTCTATAATGAGAAAGTACTACCTACGCAATATCGAGTATCATCTTCCGGTTGCGTGTTTGTGTGACGCGGTTTGCGTTAAAGCATGGGGTGGCAGGGAAGACTACCAATCACACACTACTGCCTACTTGCACGACACTATTCCTTGCCATTCTCTGCAGTCAGTAGCTGGCACCCAAAAGCTTTTCACACATGCTTTGATTTGAGAACAGTTGCATGGAAGGTAGAGTGTGGAAAGAAATGAGGACCCTACTCAAATACAGCAGAATTATGCGAAGTGAGTAGTAGAAAGTCAATAATTGTGAAAGTCTGCCTTCCTCTGTTAAGCAATGAGATCCACAATTCGGTTGCGCTTGTCTGCGGCACCGGTGTTTGGTTGAAAATACTACGTTGGATTAGGTACATCACCATCAGGTAGGTCTTGAAGAAAGTCACTGACATCGTCTTCGTGCATGATGGCCATATTGTGAAACACACAGGCGGCAATGGTGATATGGGTCGCGTTCTCAACATTCACAATATTTAGATACTTGAGTTGCCTCCATCTTCCTTTCAGCAATGCGAAAGCTCTTTCAATACACATCCGTGTTGACGAGTGCCTGAAGTTATAATTGGTCTGACTTGCTGTGAGGTGACCATCATCCCTGAAGGGAGTCATCAGCAACGGCTGTAATGGGTACGCAGAATCTCCAACGATAAAGGCTTCTCCAGAAAAGAAACGATGAGCATCTTCAGTGACCAACTGCTTCAGGGGACTGTTTTCGAATACTCTGGCATCATGCACAGAGCCAGGCCAGCCACAATACGCACCCGTAAATAGCAGGTTCCTGTCGCAGACTGCTTGTAGAATAACGGAATGGAATTTTTCCTGTTCAGGTATGTCTCAGGTGCCTCATTTGGTGCTGCAATCGGGATATGGCAACCATCAATCGCCCCCATGACGCCGTGGATGTGCTGAGCTGAATGAAATTCTGCTTGCGTCCTCTCTGCACCTTGCCCCTGGGGCCATTATATCAGTAACGGAGCCATGTCCTGCAAGCCAAAACACACACGCCGTACGCTGTGCCATACTGTCGATTTGGATAGACCAAACTTGTCTGCCAGCTCTCTGATGGTGCTCTTACTGCCAAGCCACCAAAGAGTAACCAAAAGCTGCTTGCGCACGGGTATAGGCTTTCCGACCTCCATTGCCCTGCACAGCCATGTGGACAGAATGGGATAGCTTTGTGCATACAATTTCTACTGTTGCACAGTGCAAACGGAAGTGTCCACGAAAATCTGCATCAGACTGCAGAGGCACAACAACTTCGACGTAGACCCTCTGCCGCGGAACTGATACACGTCGAGGTGTTCGAAATCCAAGGACTCCATTGAAGCCAGGTTGGTGCGACAGTACACAAATCTCATCAAACAAATCAGACGGTATCTCCTCACTTTGCAGGATTCTGGCAACTACCACAGCTACAAAGCCAACTACGACACAGATTTTCCGTCGGCGAATCTCATTATCTCCTTCGTCCATGATGCTTGCTACCGAAAAATGGAACTGCACAAGACCTCACGAGGAAGGAGAACAACAGCTAACTTCACAAGCTACACGCGGAATGGAATGGAAGTGGAACAGCGGCTTTTTATGGACTTGAAATGGTCCTATTATGGAGGCGACAACATGATCCCAGAACCCTGCTTGCTCACGCTTTTAGATTTGAATTTCAAAATATATTACAAAAATTGATCTGTACCTTGACAACCTTGGCAACTTTCAATCGCCATTTTTGTACGTCATCATTACGACGACCAACTGTGCTAGCTATCGTTCGATTGGAGCTGGGAGGATCCGAGT